CACGTCTCCTAACTCATGGTTTAATATTCTGTTAGCATCCTGTTGTCCCTCTTCCTTCCCCCATTTGTTGCCCAGGAACTCTGCCCTCCTCACACATGCCCCCTTAGGTCCAAGACTATCCGTGGGCTCCAGCCTAGCTCTAGGGCTTAGTCAACACCGTCTATCCTTTAAAAGAAAAAAAATATTTAAGCATTTGCTGAAAAAATAATTACACAGAACTACTATATTAAGAAAAAAAAAGAAAGCCAAAAAGAAGGCCATCGAATTTGATTATTAGGAAGTTACAAATGATTTTATGATGAATTTTTAAGTTTTTCAATTTTAAGTATGGCAGAAACTAGGCATAGATCAAAATCTCACACCATATACCAAAATAAAGTTAAAATGGGTTCATGATTTAGATATAAAGGCTGATACTGTATGTAAACTGGGAGAGCAAGGAATAAAAAAAAATTTAATTTTTTTTTAATTTTAATTTTAAAATTCGGAATAACAGGCATACCACTAAAATCAAATCTCTCTAAAGGGAAGAAAGAGTATAGGTAGACAGTGAGGAAGGAAAAGTGTATATATGTAGACAGTGAAAAATTATTGAGCAAAATTGTCATCTGTATCTGTGTACATTAAGAATTAAAATCTCTACCGGAGGCCGGAGGGTTAGACAGTTGAAAGGGAGAGTCTGGGGACCGCACAGATAAGATCTGATCTAGCCAGTGTCCAAGGGAGGCTATCTAAAAGCTGTCATTGGGATCCCAGGACCATGAGAAAAATAACAGCTAGCATTTACATAGTGCTTTTTAAAGTTTGCAAAGCATTTACAAATATTACCTCATTTTATCCTCACAACACTTCTGAGAGGTAGGTGCTATTATTAGCCCCATTTTACAGATAGGGACTCTGAGGAACACAGCCATCAAATGATCTGCCCTGGGTCACACTAGTAAATGGCTAAGGCTATATCTGAACTCGGGTCTTTCAGACTCTATTTATTTTGTCACCAACAAAGGTACACCCAAGGGAGTAGAGAAGGTCTTCAAAGGTATTGTCAGAAAATTCACTCTAGCTTGCAACCCAGTCTTTGCTGCCCAGTCCTTCGTGGTATTGTGTGCCTAAGACTACAACCTGATGCATAAGACTTTTCCCAGAGAAACACAGGATGGAAATGTACACACATACAGACACGCAGGGAAAACTATCCTGGTAGTTCTCCATGTCTATTTCTTCCTCTTAAAAGCCCTAGCTCCCTTCAAGACTGACCTCAGGGGCCACTGCTCCAAGAAGCCCTTCCTGATTTCCCTAGTTATTCCTGCCCCCATCACTGTGTATTTATTCTGTACAGCTTCTATATGTTCTTATCTGTGAATGTATTGTCCACTGCTTGTGCAGCCAGGGGGCACAGTGGATAGATTGCTGGGCCTGGAGTCAGGAAGACCAGAGTTCAAATCTGCCCTCAGACACTTATTAGCTGTGTGACCCTGGGCAAGTCACTTAACCCTGTTTACCTCAGTCTCACTATATGTAAAATGAACCGGAGAAGGAAATGGTAAACCACTCCTATCTCTTTGCCCAGAACATCTTAAATGGGATCATTGAAGAGTTGGACAATCCTGAACAAATGAACAAGTACCATGTAAGTTCCTTGAGGGCCGATACTATCTCATTTCTATCTTTGGCATAATACCTGGTATTTAATAATTGCTCCTCAATAGATTCACTCATCGTTAATTCATTCAACAACCATTTATTACTAACAATAATAGCTTACAGTTGCATAGCCCTTTAAGGCTATATTCCTTTCAACAACCCTGAAGTAGGTAGTGATGTATTTTGATGGCCATTTTACAGATGAGACAACTGACATTTTATGGTGAGGGACATTTGCTTGAGATTGCTTGGAGAATTAGTAGCAGAGCCAGGCATCCTATCCTTGGATTTAGAGCTATTCCTATTGTATCATGTTAGAAATCGATAATGGAAGAATTCTAGGCAGTTTGGAAGGAGGTGAGTATGGGATATTTGAGGGAGGTCCTTCCTGGAAGCCTCCAAAACTCTGCAAGGACGACTTGGCTCCCCTCTCCTCCCTGGTCTCCTTTCAGCCTCCTTTTACCTCCTTTTACCTGCTCTGCTCAGATAGCCTCTTTCTCTTCTCCTCTCTTCTCCTCTTCCTCCCTCCCAGTGGTCCAGGAAGCTGGAAGTTTGTTATCTCTCCAACTCTAGAGAGCATTAGGTCAGTGTTTCTGCTACTTGGGTTATCTGTATCAACTTGTATCTACTTGTATCTGTCTCTCTTCCCCAGCTCGGGGGCACAATATCCGGCTCACAATGGAGAACCAAGTCTTTTTCCCCGTCTGTTGGACTTTAGTTTCCTCATCTATAAAATGAGGGCATTGAACTGGAAGATCTCCGCAGGTTCCCCACCCCCACCCCCACCTCCCCATCTATTAGCCTCTGTTTTCTTGAGGGCAGGCTCTGTCTTGGTCCTCAGATTACAGTCTCCCTCAGGCCAGGGTCTGGGGCATCTCCCTCAACCTGGTGACTCTCCAAGCAAGGGCAGAGCTGTCGCCCCCAGATTGGATGTAGGGCAGAGGTTATCTTCCTTCTCAGGCTAGAGGCTCCTAAATGGCAGGATGCGGTCTCTCCCTCAGATTGGAGGTCCCCCAAAAGGCAGGAATCGGGTCACCTCCCTCTGCCTGGGAGCTCTCTTAGAGCAGGAATCTGGGCTCTTCCTCTGAAATGATGGGCCCCCACTGAAACGATGCTTTTTAAATATCAATGTTTGAGGGTGGCCATAGGAATGTTACCTATAAGAGCTGAGGGCTGGCTATGGGCAGGGGCCAGAAACTAGTCTATTGCACTGTCATTCAGAGTACAGTAGATTATTCTTCCCTATGTGGGACTAAGATGCCCAAGTTTTCTCCCTGCCCCTGACCTAAATGTCCCTTCTCTCTGTGTCTGGCTGTCCTTACTGGCCTTCGGGTGAGAGGTGAGAACCCTGTCAAATGCTATGGAGTCTGGTCCCTTAGTGCCCCCGGGGAAGCTACAGTGGGAATAGAGGGAGCCTTTGGTGCCCCCTCAAGGGCTAGGAGGTAGTGTGGTATATAGTAAAAGGAGCATTGGCCTGGAGATTAGAAGACATAGCTTCCAATCTCTGCTTAAATTCTTACTACCTGTGTGATTTGGGGTATGTTACTTAATTTTGATTGGCCTCAGTTTTCTTACCTGTCAAATGAGAAGTGGATTAGATTGCCTCTGAAGTCCACAGAGGATTTTTTTTTTTGAGGTTGGAGGAAGGGGAGAGTGGACCATTGGTTACTACTTTGAGAATGAGGATCAAGGAAGCAGTTGGTAGTTACAATATGTCTCATTTGGGCCTTTTTAGGAGGCTGGGAGATAGGAGAGGAGGCATCCCAGTCCTGAACCTCATTGGACACACAGACTGAGAGCCTGGGTTTGGAATGCCTTGGACCATGTCACACCCAGATGGGCACTTCCCCTGGTTCACTATTCATTTTGCCTGCCTGCCGGTCTGGCTGGAGAGTCAGCCTGGAGTCTATGGAAACCTAGCAACTGTTTGTTGAAACAATGGAAAACTTCATTTTTCTCTCCCTCCACCCCACCATTTCATTACTCAAAAGGTTTCTCTCAAGGTTCCAAAAAAAAAAAAGCAAACCCCCACCCAAAAAAGTGTTTTCTTTCTGCCACTGAGCCTGGTGCAGCCCTGGAAAATTTCAGGCGGAAAAGGGAATTTCAGCATGGGCACAAACTGGAAAGAAAGGTTGTGCCTCTTTGAACTCATATGCCCAAGAATTTCTTGGGAAATTCACATGAATTTATGGACCAATGGTGTTCTGTCTCTGTGTGAGATTTACATGATTGGTGTGTGTCTGGGATCATAGATTTAGAACCAATAGGCCTAGAGATCACCTAGTCCAATTTCATTTTATAGAGAAGGAAGAGGTTGAAGTGATGGGAGATCAGGGAGGGCTTCCTAGAGGAGGTGACATTTGCATTAAACTTTAAAGATTGAGGATGAATTCAACAGAGCTCTGATTTGTTTGAATGGGTAGGGGAGCTGAGGAGCTTTGTCCCTCACTGAGATCACCAGGATAGGGATAGGAACTTTTGCCTCACGTAGTTTTGTGTGTCAATATGAGTTCATAGGATCGTAGATTTAGACCTGAAAAGGGCCTCAATCTGCTCTAAATACTCATTTTACAGAAGAGGAAACAGAGGCATAAAGAGTTTAAAGTAAACTTAGGTTGTTAGATAGTAAGCTATACAAGCAGGATCTGAATCCAGGTCCTGTGACTCCAAAGCCTAAGCGTTCTTTGGAGTGGATGCTTTAAAATGTAGGAATACCAAAGTGCATACGAGCCTTGATTCCTGTCCCTAACTTACTATGCCAGGTACCAACTTGTTGAAGAGTCCAGGAAGGACTTTCTCCTGTGAGATGGGGAGACAGGGACCTTGAAGCATTTCAAGTCCAACCTCCTCCTTTTTCAGAGGGGGAACTAAGGCCCCGAGAAGTTAAGTGACTTGTCCAAGGTTACACAGCAGAGGATGGTCCAGTCGAACCCAATCGGGCACGCTTTCCTCTAGCCCTCGCTGCGGGCTGAGTCTGGCTCCTTACCCTTTCCCTGGACCCGGCTCTGCTCCTCTCCTGCGGGACAGGTTTCTGCGAGCCGGGCCGGATTCAGGTCCCTCCCCGCAACAGTTCGCTCGGACCATGCACCCGGGCCCCTTAAGGTCTCCCCGCGCCCCCGCGCCCCCGCCCCCTGGTCCCATCCCGGACTCCAGGCCGGGTTTGGCGGGGAGCCGGCCCTGGGCCGCTGCCCCGCTGGAGAGGCGGGGGGGGGGGGGGGATCGGGGGCCCAGACAAAGGGCCAAGTTGGCTGCGCGGCCCGGGCTCCAGCCGCCTGGGCCGGGCCGGAGGCGGAGCCGGGGCCGGAGGCGGGGCTACGGCCGGTGGGAGGCGGGGGGCTGGGAGTGGGGGGCAGAGAGCCGGGGCGCCGCGCCGATCCCGAGCCCAGCCGAGCCGAGGCGAGCGGGCCGCAGACATGGGGCCGAGGGCGGTGCGGACGGGGCGGCTGCTACCGCCGCTGCTGCTACTGCTGCTGCTGGGTCCTCTTCTCAGCGTGAGTCTGCCCCTGCCATCCCTTCCCCACCCTCCATTCCTTCCTCCCTCCTTCCCTTCTCTGCTTCTTCTGCAACTTTGGAAACTTTGTGTGCCCGGAGGGCAAGTTGGCTCCTCGGCCAGCGGGCTGGGGCTGCCCGGGAACTGGGAGGGACTGGCTGGGGACGGGGGATTGGGGGGCTCAGGTCGGCCGGTCGGCCGCGCTCCTGCCTCGGCACCTTTGCCACGCGCCTCTCCTCCCCCGGGGCAGATGTCCTCGGGGACTCCGCGATGCCCTGGGACCCCCTGGGCCACCAGAAGGCTGGGCTGGAGGGGAGAGGGCACGGGGGCTGCGGAGAGAGGGAGAGGCCGGAGCCCTCGTCCTCCAAGAATTCGGGAAACTTTGAGAGCCCAGAGAAAACTTGGCTTCTCGGTCGATCAACCCCGGCGGCTGGGGACCAGCAGTGCCACTGCTGGGGTCCCTCAGGGCACCGGGCAAGGCGGGGGCTCCTAGGACCGTGCACCCCCCCTCCCCCAGGAGGCCAGATACTAGAGGGGAAGGGCTGTCCAGGGGAGCTGTTCAGGCCCGGCAATGAGAGGCCCAAGCCCCAGTCCATGCCGCCCAGGAGACACTAGGAATCTGGCTACCCCTAGGCGACCTGCCCATGCCACGCGCGGGGCCGGCCTCAGGGGAGTAGAGAGTGAAGAGAATCGAAAGAGAATGGGCGGGGTCAGGCCCCGCGCGTGGAGAGAGTGGGCGGGGTCGTCACCTCCGGTGGGGAGAGTGGGTGGGGCCAGCGTCTCGGGTGGGAGGCCGAGGGGTGACGTGTGGGGGCTAAGCATTTGCCTTGGATGGAGAGAATAGACAGGTGGGGGGCTTTTTGGGGGGAGGGGGACAAGCAGAGATGATCCCTCCCCCTGGGCCAGTCACTTCACCTCTCTTTGCCTCAGTTTACTCATTGATCTCCAAGGTATTGGGAAAGTGGCTGGGAACCCATGTTCTCCTAGCTTCTTTTGCTCAGTAGACTGGGCCAGGATGACCCTAGGGATTTTTTTTTGGGGGGGTGAGGTCTGTGGAAAGCCTTAAGGCTATTTGGGAAGAAGACAGGCTAGACCTTGGTTTTTTGACCCTATCCTCAGTGGTATACACTAAAGGGTGTCGGATTAGATCCCTGTGGTCCCTTCCATCATGTGGTCCCTTTGCATTCTATGATGCCTCTGTTAAAAAGAGGAAGGTAGAAGCCTGGGACAGCGTGTAGGGTGGGGATTTGCCCGCAGCAAACTCTTCCATTCCTGGCTGCTGCCTGCTGTGAGCCTCTGCCCTAGAGAGGGCCCTGGTCAGGCACCCTACTGTGAAAGGCCCCAGAGAACAGCTGCTTCTCCATTAATAAGTATATATTTGACTCATCCAATCTGACCATGCCCTTAAGGACCTTATACCTCAGAACAAGAAACTTAACTAACCCTGTGCAAGATCATTCACTAGGGGACTGCTCCCAAGTAGTTACACTTGAAGCCAACCTTAGCCACCAAATTGCCTCAGCCTCTCATTTTAGGCCCAGAAAGGCTAAAGTCAGAGAGGGAAATTGCTGTCATGGGACTTGAAAGAGATAGGGGGGGAAAAAGTCTCCTGAAATCTCAGCAGATAACCAGATAACTATAAGGGATGTTTGTGTCCTGCTTGGAGGTTGCCTAGGTAATTTCCTGAAAACATTCCTTTAAGGTAGATCGTCTGAGCATTCATAAGATTATAGCCCTAGTGCTGGAAGGTAACTGAGATACTTTCTAAGCCCATCCTCCCTCATTTTACAGATGAGAAAACCAAGATGTGGCTTGCCCAGGTTCACACAGCTGGTATTGGAGGCAGGAGGCAGTCTATCTTGTTGGCTCTAACCATTACACCAGGCAGCCTTGTGCTTATCTTTGTGATATTAATTGTACTGGATTTAGAGGAGGAGGCCCTAAAGTCACTTTAGCTGTCTAGGCCTCAAGATCCTCCTCCGTAAAATGAATAAAAAGATGGGGTGGTCCCAGAGTAGTGGGATCAAATTCAAATAGAAAGGGATCCCTGCAGGCTGCAGATTGACTTAGAAAAACTACAATTAAACTTTATCTGTGACATGCAGTCATTTTATTTATTTTGTTAAACATTTCCCAGTTCCATTTTAATGTTCTCATTTTGACACCTCTGGACTAGAAGAGGGCCCTTCCCAGAACCTCTCCCATTGGATCGACTCCACAAAACTTCTTCCTCTGATTCCAGAACACCGTGAGGAGGTGAACCTGGGTTTTAGAAGGTTCTAGAAGGTCTAAGGGGAGCACAAGTTGTGCCAGGGCTGATGATCCTGGAAAGGCTATGTGCCCAGCAAAGGACTGTGAGTGTGGCTGTCATCAGAGGACCAGCCTAGCTGAGTGTTTATGGAGAGGTGCCTTACCAGATTGGCCCCTGCCTCAATGGGCATATTTTTTAGTTACAGTCTCTCTTACCCAAGTGCTTAGTTCTAGAAGGGCTTGTAGTCTGGGTGGGCCCATTTCAGGACTTTGATGGGAGATCATAGGATTTAAAGCTAAAGGGACCTTAGAGATCTGTCTAGTAGAACCTCTTTCATTTTACAGATGAGGAAACTGAGGCTTACCTAGAGTGAGGAAATAATTTACCCAAGGTCATACAGATGGTAAGTGGCAAAATTAGGCTTTGAGCGCAGGCCCTTTGACTGCAAATCTGCTGCTTTTAATAGACCTAGACTCTTAAATTCTTCCTCCTCTGCCAGGGCAGTGCCTGGAGAAGCTGCTGAGGGCTGGGAGGAAGGAGGCAGATTCCCCAGCTCCTGAGCCCTAACTCTAGCTGCAGATTCCCTGGACATGGGAGCCAGTGGTCCCATTCATAGGAAAATAGAAGGGAGTGTCTCTAATCCCGAAGCCTGGAAAGTAGTTGGTGGTGAGAGGCCTAGAGAATTGGAAAGAACTCCAGGGGAAGAGGGGAGGCTGGGGCGGGGTCAGTGGGCAGGGAGCTGGTGGCCCGAGGTTGGGTGGGCGGAATCTGGGGAGATGTGCCAGGCCTGTTACAGTGAGCTGTGCATCCCGCCTTCACGCTCCCTCATCCCTTCTGTGGAGCGCCCCTGGCCAGAAGCGAGATTTTTCTAACCCAGCAAATGTTTACCTAGTGACTGACTCTATCTCCCAATGACTTCATCCCCTCCCACCATAGCTAGTCTCACCTCGGCTGGGCCTTAGTCACTCTGTAACTACCCCCTTCCCCCGGCAGCCCCGTGGCAGATCCTTTATCCTGCTGGGGCTCACTAGATTGGCCATCTTGCCCCTACCCCCAACCTGGCTCCCTAGGCTGTAGACACCCCCACCACACCCCGGGCAGGAGAGCTTGGTTTGAACCAGAGCTACTCTTACTAGTTGAATGACTCATGTCGCCACTTCTCTGAGACTGTAAAATGGGCATGTAAAAATGCTAAGCCTGCCTTCTTCGGAGATCCAGCCTTCACCATTGATATGGGAATCACTAGTTTGTTGAGGAAATTGTTTCTTTGGCCTGCTCCCTTAACCCCCTGTGCCTTCCATGCCCTGTGGACACCCTCTTCCCTGACACACCCACACTTAGCCCTTCTGGCTCCCTTCCAGCACCTTATTGGAGTGTTTAAAAATAACTAGATGAAGGGTGGGGGTAGGGAAGAGTGAAATGTTTAGAAATGAAAGTGATAGAAAAACAAAAGATCAATAAATTTACTCAAAAAAAATTAGATTTTTGAGTCAGAGAACCAGGATTTGAGTTCCAATAATTTTTGCTTCTTATTCCTTGGTCAAATCACTGAACCTCAGTTTCCTCATCTGTAACATGGGGTGTTTGGACTTCATGGCTTCTGAAGTCCTTTCGGGCTTGAGATCTATGGTCCTAAGTCCCTTCCAGCGTTGACATTGTATAGTCTAAGGTCCCTCTCACCTTTAAAGTCCTGTGTTCAAAAGTTACTTTCTCCTCCGCTACTCTGTGTTCTAAGGGCTTTCCCAGCTCCAACATCCTCTGTTCTATGATAAATCAGGTTCTTCCTGTAGCTGGAAGTCCTAGATTTCCTAAGCTTTTGAAATCTCTCTAGCCTGGACTACATCTACTTAGTGTCTTTCCCTCTCTCCCTCCCTCCCTTTCTCCATTCATAAGCCTTCTGTTTGTTGAGGAACGTAAGCCTGAAGTTCTATAGTTGTGTGTGTGTGTGTGTGTGTGTGTGTGTGTGTCCCCATGGAGACTCCAGGTGGGAATGGGTGGTTTAGAGGAAGGCCCCCCAGATTTGGCACCAGATGAGGACCTTGATTAAATCACAGCTATGTCACTTAAGATCTCTGTGACCTCGGACAGTTCCTACCCCTTTGCAGGGCCTCACATTCCTCCCCTCTAAAATGAGCGGATTGGATTAAATGATCCCCAAATGTTTCTTCCAGCTTTCAGCTAGACTCACATCCCACCTGGAGCCTTTGGGCCACATCCTCTCTGCTCCAGTCACATCCTCCCTACTCCTTCTGACAGCTTTTTATTACCACCATCCCCCCCAACTGGACTGGGGTCTTATTTCCTCCCAGGAAGGAAAAGAGAGTGGGTGGGCTCCTTCCCAGGGCAGACTCTGTTCCTGAGAGGCCTGTGGAGTTTTCCAAAGTGGAGGAGGGGAGTTGGCTCTCAGCCTCGGACCCTTCCTCTCTGGGGATCAGGCACTTAGGAGGACTTCATTGGTTTTGCAGTCTGAACACCTGAGTGTGAGTCCTGACTCTGGCATTTCCAGTGTCATAGGGTTTATGACTGAAAGGTCATAAAAAAGGTCAACCCCTTTATTTGACCAATGGGAAAGTGAAGCCCATTAAGGAGGAAGAATTTGTCCTGAGGTCACAAATGTCATGGCTAGGGGAAAAAAATGATTTTACCTTTCTGAGCCTCAGTGTCTGCCTCTGTAAAGTAGGTATAATCTTGCTTGCACTGCCTACCTCACAGGACTACTACATGAACCCAGAATGAGATAAGGGCTCTGC